TGTTATTCTACGCCAATGTTTGTTCCTTCTCTACTTAAGACATTTTTACTCGAATTCATACAATCGTGTAAGAGCGGAGCCTAATTTAAGGATAAGTAGTGAAATGACTGGATATGTTTATCTATTTATTTGAAGAGTTGCATTGGGCCAAAAGGGGCTGATTACTAAACAGAATCTCAGGGAGGATAAGGAGGCTCGTTTGGTACTTGCCAACCTAATATATCATATATAGTGTGACACCCGTGTATCCATCAAAAGGTATGAGTACTCTGCAGCAGGTTGTTTTGTGAGACATGCCTGTCGAATGTAGAAGATTGGAAATACTATGAACTTATGATCACATGAAATTTTGATCAATTATTCGTGTACTGTATAACGACATGGTAAAAAAAGAGTGATTTTAACTTTGGAGTATTTGGAAGGAAGGGTAAGTCAACCGAATAAGGAAGCTAGGACAGCGTTAGGCATGTTAGTTTTAGTTCAGCTGCAAAATGAGAATGAACATTTTGATTGCATGTATTTATGAAAATGATTTGTTATCAAAATTCAATTTCAGTTCACAGAATTACTATGCTGAGTGATATATGTATCAGAAAATTTCAAACTGCACATCTGTACTGTAAGATTCAAAAGGGTAAATCACTTAGTATTCCTCTTAAGGAATAAATGAAAATTATACTCAAATGTATTTCATTTTAAGAATGATCTTAATAAATCACATGACTACTTTATGATATATACTAATCACCACTTTTCGATAGAAAAGCCGTACTCTATAAAAAGGATATACACCTCTGCAGGAACGCTAAACTAAAATGTAGCACTCATTCTATTTCATTGATTATTACTCACGACAGACACTATTAGACTAACGGTATAAAGAGAAACTTTACATACCACTTCAAGAAATGGTCTTAGATGATTATAAGTAAAGATCAATTAATTGCAACACTTAAGTTTCAAAAACGACAATTAAAATGTAGTTTCTTTAAAATACCTACCTTATTAGGTATATCTTCTAAAAACTTTAAGATTGACGGACCTTGTAAGCGACATAGGACATGTAATAATGTCTTTATAGTTCGCAAAGGAACATCTGATTTTTGTGAACCCCAGAATGAAGATGGGAATGCCTTCAAAAAATGATGACAATCCAACAGTTATGACATCCACAGCATAGTTATTAACTGATAATGATGAAAACGAAAAGAAGAAAAGAGTAAATTATGCCAATTTTGATACTTAGAAAATATACCACCCAAATAATGTGACTGTCTAAGTCAACGTGTTATGTACCAGGATAGAATAAATGAACGTCTTGAAGATGAAAAAGGCTGAGTTATACATACTCGGTCGCTGTTTACACTGATATTCTACATATCCCCAAATAAAGGCTTGAATACTGTATGAAATACAACTAGGAATCATTCACACCACTTCAACAGAACATCTCCAATACAACAATCAGCTTTCCCTTTGTACCAGTGTGGTGGGTGCTACCTATAATCAGATATAAGTAGTATATCAGTAAATGAATTCAGAAAAGTAACAATACGCTTCGGACACTAGAAAAACCCAATCGAAGAAGAGAACTGTCAGAAGAACGTTACAAACACTCTGCAGAATCCAACAAGCTATCGAATGTGGTGATATTCGACCAATTTGCAAATAATGTACAGATAAAGCATTGAAGATAAGGTATACCAAATTTATGTACCTACAATCCGCTTGTCCTTCGAGCCTCATCGGTCTTTTCTACTTTACCCTAGTATTCCTTCTGATTGCCGATTTCCTAACTTGTTTCCCTATAAGCCAATGATTTTATCACGATATGCTACTGTAAAGTCTGACAACTGTGACAGATCCTACGTCAGTGTAACCAAGCTATCTGGATTAATAAATGTAGAACAAGTTGTCCGCAGTTGGGATTTTCGCTAGAAATATTACTGGAATCAAAAGCTTACCAAGTAAATAAAAAAATTTCATCCATTTCACCTAAGAAATCAATGAGTCGCACTTGTTTCCTTCATCCTCTTACAATCGAGTCTACATGTACATGTGATGACCACATTCATTTGCCTTATTCTAACCTACTGTTTTTTCCTTTGTATATAACAATGTTTAGCTTTATCACTCTTATCAATACCACTTGCGGATTTGTTTAAGCAATTCATACACAGATTTCTACGATGTGGTTGTGTTCTCTGAGCTGTGTGATTTAGTTGTAGAGCTCTCATTGTCTCCCCAGACAACATCTTTATTGCAGACTTCAATGTTGCTTTTTGTCTAACTGTGTTTCAATTGCCAGTTACATTTTAATACAAAACTATTACTACTACAATCCTTTTTTCTCCTTGCATGATTCAGTGTATGGGTTCTAGTTAGATATAAGTGGAGAGAATACTTCTTAGTTCGATTGCACAAAGCAGTACACGTATATAGAGAAACTGAATTCTTAGACTACACGTCTCCTCTTCTATTCGATTAAATGAAAGATCACATCTATACACTTAGTACACAATAATTATTAATTACTACTGTCATTCAGACACTAAGATGGAAATCATCAAAATGATGACAATTATGGTGGTTACAATGAGGATAGGTGTGGATTACTCTGAGCAGGGTGATTTTCACAATGGATTTATAAATGACAGTTACAATGACTACAACCACAAAAAAAAAACAGTGCAAACTCAAAATCATGGAAGATATTGTACAGTTACACGCTAATGTAGAACATTCTCATTAAGTAAAAACGATTTACTCTATACAGAAAGTATCTGTAGTTTATCTTTCATGTTTAAACATAGTAGACAAAATAAAAAACGAATGCAAAACATCTACACCATCATAGCGCTATATGTATTCAGTGAACTTACATGCAGTATTCATTCCTTTAGTAACACGCCAAATACTCTTCAGGATAGCTTGAGTAAATCTATTTGTGAAATGTCCATTACTGACACACTCATGCAGTAACCTGATGAGAGCGCTAAAATATAAACAAATATAATTAGAATACAGTATGTATAGGTCTTTCAATACATTATCAAATTATTCATTTATATACATCTTATCTGCTGGACTAATTGTACAATAATACAAGGAAACTTAGGTGTTTACTTTTGAAACAAACAATGTACCATAGATGATATCTAACTATATATCGTCAAACCTAAGACAATAAACTTAATTCTAAAGATAAAATTCATGAAAACTACAGCGTACGAAGAATTCTTGATCAAAATAAAACCGACAGTCACTGTGATTTATGTATGAGACGAAATACACGTTTTAGGATACGTCACAAAAATTATGCATAGAAAAATTCAAAACTCTAATTGTCTATACGTAATATCACATAAATTCCAATTGGAAAGAGATTGTGATAAACGACTCTTGTAGTTCTAATGGGAAAGTGAATAACAGCTGAGTTAAGTATGTCGATTTTAGCGGTGGATGATTGTTTTACGACATAGAGAATCGTGGGAAATATCCATAAAGTCATCGGAGGAAAAAAATCAAGTTCAGTAAAAATATCTTCACGGCAATTTCATTCTCGAAAGTTGTACAATTGCAATTTACATACAAAAGTCCGTACAGTTATAATTATTATTTAATTCAACATAGGAATGGAGGGGGGATTAAAGGAAATAGCGTAAAGAAGAAAAGACCGTTGAGGCTCAAAGGAATGCTTACTATTACAAACGCATTGTAGGTACATACATTTGGTATACCTTATCTTCAATGCTTTCTCTGTACATTATTTGCGAATTAATCGAATATCACCACATTCGATAGCTTGTTGGATTCTTCACAGTGTTCATACGGTTCTTCTGACGGTTCTCTTCTTCGATTAGGTTTTTCTAGTGTCCAAAACATACTGTTACTTCACTGAATTCGTTTACTGATATACTACTTATATCTGGTTACAAGTAGCACTCACCACAACAGTAGTTTTCAATTTGATAAGGAAGTTTTTGAGGTGTGACGAAAGATGAATACGTACCTGTGCACTTAGCTCCACAGGAACAGGTGAACTGATGTAAGCACATTTGAATTGGACACATGTGGTGATTCGTCCTTCAAATTGTGTATGACTAGATAATATTACTCTCTGAGTTGTTGTAGGGTAAGTCTTCAGTAGAAACGATATACATCAGCTAATTTAAGTCAACACTACTTACTGAACAGTAATAAGCCCATTTCGAGATTCAAAGTCCTAAAGGTCTATTTCCTATGAAATTATGAATAAGCATTGCATGTATGCATAGGTGTATGAATTTTCAAAAGTTTTCTAGTTGATCTTGAAAAATAAGGGAAACCACCTTCAGAAGAATACTTGTCTTTCCGTCAGCATAAATTTCAAAGACATAATAAAAAAACAAAAACACAGAAAGCGCGATGAAACTAGAAGTTAGAAGTAACCTACCTTAGAATACGTGTTCCGTTGGCAGTTTCCAATATACGAACGAAAAGTGCATTGATCGACCTGATGACGTTATTTCCAACAGGCATTTCCACTGTTCTTTCATCTAGCATCATGTGAAGCAATGACTGAATTAATTCTCTTATTGTTTCACGTGAAGCTTCACGACCCAATGTTGGACGATTGAAAAGCTAAATTTAAAGATTAGTAATTTTTATTAGCTATCGTTAAATGAACTAAAATGAAATAACAATTACAGATTTTTACACAACATGTGCATATGTCAAGTAACAGAGAGAGAGGGAACCAGAGGTCAATTGGCTAGAGCATATCTTTAGGCTAAATGTGCTAAATAAGTTAAAGTTGCCAGAGAGCAGGATAAATTAAAGCAAGTTCGCAATAATGCTGGAAGTAAGTAATGCGAATTGCTCACATACAAAAGATAAATTTGTGCTGAAATTAGTTTTTTTCTGGTTCAAAAAGAAAACTACTTGTCATTGAGAAATATCTTCTAATTTATCAACTGTTATGTGGTGATTAACGCAGTGAAAAAAACTTTACGATGCATAGCGTCAAATTTCTGGAGATTAAATGAACCGCCAGCTTGAAAGCCAGATTTTTCAACTTTTTCCCAAGACTTCTAAGCATTTATATTAAGTGCAAACCAAAAACATAAATAGATGAAACTAGTCAATGAGAAGAATTGCGAATCATGGATTCCAATGCTAATTACCACCAACCAATAAATATCACAACATGTTAATCTTCGGATAATGTCCAGGAGACGATATGTCAACAGAGACTGGGCATTCCGGTCCAATAAGATTAATCCACGGGGAATGCAGATAAACTTAATGTATTTTATCATACCACAGACGTTGAGAATCGAAATGTTGTTGTTTTTGGTACGCAGACTACATTGACTATCTACAAGTATGTACAGAGACAATTATTTTATGGAGATTTTTTATCACACTCCCAGTACATCCTTTTCATGTTGCTAACTCGTTGGATTGAATTGGAGGGACATGCGAGCTTGTACATACACGCAATGATCACCAATATCGCTTGTCTACGCCATCAATATATACAACAACCACCTGATTCCCCAGCCCGTTATTTCACCCAAACCAAACAACCAGGCGAGACGGAAAGTATACATAATGAAAGGAAACAACGATGATATTTGTATATACATACATGGCCAGTGACATAGACGTAAGAAAGGATAATCCATTGTCTATCTGTTTATTTCCACGCTCGACATCGATCACTACATCATAACTTTAAATTGTTCAACTGTTGTTCTCACGTCTTACCTGTTTGGAAATCATGATCATTTGACCTACAGCAATCTGTAAGCTTTTTAGACTAAATGGTTTCACTGGCTACAGGTAATTTTTTGTGTGCTGTAGACTACAGAAGTGTCTAGAAAATTATTGAAAGAGTCAGTGAACATCTAAAATAGAAACAAGATAGTTATGCGATGCTTACGTGTGCTAAGTTACGCTGGAATTATTATGAAAAGAAAATGACAAGGCAGATTTCTGTAGAGACAAGTACCAGTTTGAGATCTTTTACCTAACAGTAATGTATGGCATATCTCAGACAATAAGGTTTTTCTGTCAATACATTAACTTAAACTTTGAAATATTTCAACAATTAAAAAAATAATCAGTTTTCGATAAAAACCACGAGAATTATATGCAAGCGTCTACTGTGGCAAGTATAAAAATAACCTAAACTCACAGATTCAAGAGCGGAAAGGTGGGATTGCATTAATTTGCACAACTGATCTTCCGTAACTGAAGGATCTCCAAAATATCTCGAAGTAACCTGTCGTAACTGCATTGTAATGAGCATTAGAATTTGATTGACATGGTTTAGTAGGAGGTACCACTTCTCATCTACACCGATAAGAGGTAAAAATAATGTAAATAAACTGTAACTGTAACAGCTTTTTACTTTATAAATCTGAAACAATAATAATAGTAATAGTATTGATAAAAATAATAATTATCATGATAACCCAGAATCTTACCCCTTAGAACAGTATCAATTTCTGCCAGAGCATGACAACTAACAAGTAAATCGTTTGAAGATATGGCTGTTACAACCATTGTGATAGCTGAGGCGGTATCAGGGCTTGTCCGTAGCAATGCGTTTAAGATTGTTTGACGAGCATGATTTCTATAATAAATAATGTACATAAAAAAAAACAAAAGGTGACATATATAGAACGAAGTTATATCAATTCATTTTTTTTATAAAGGTATGAATAAACAAAATGGCGACTTACTTAAGAGCAGGCATTTCAACAGGTTGGAAGAGATCATTAATATCAGCATCTAACTGAATTAGTGGAGGCATGGTTGGGGCTTTTTCAGGCGATAAGTCACCTAATTCATTTAACATAGCACGAGCTTTAGCATGCGCTGCAGAAACAGGTTGCTGACGGTGGTATTCTTGAGGAACAGGTTCTGCAGGGCGACGAGAATCAGATGGTTCGCTGAAAATGAAGTGAAATGAACACTTGTAAAAGTGTAATAACAATATATAAACAAAATGGTGAATATAACGAATTAATTGTCTTCTATAATTTCTCAGTGCTTAAATGTATGATTTGTAACAGGGCTGTAAAGTAATTCACAGACAAGGAGGAAAGTCCCTAAAAGAGTCAAAAGAATATTGAAGTTACGAATTACTATCGCAGATGAACAAAAATCCTGACGCAAGATAGATTAATCGTTTCACTAAATAATTAATGGAAATGTAACGGATAAGATTATGGAAAAAAAAATAATACACTTTAAATGGCTGGCAATAACACAGATGGAATAACACATACCGTCTTGCAGTGCTTGGTCTTGCAACAGCTTTCGGTTCAAAATTTTCAGGAGCTGGTACATGGCCAGAGCGCTTAATACGTTCCTCTAACATTGAACGTTCTTTCTCAGGGATCTAAAACAAAACAATGAGATGTGATAGAAGACACCAGTGTTAATAATAACAGCATTATATTTATGTATTTGTATATATAAACTTGTAGTTAAAACACCTTCCGAATCCGACATTTTCAAATTACAAATGGCTTGTTAAAGATGTTTACGCGACTGGCAACGCAACCATAACTCATTAACTTGTTACACTGACTTGATTTTATTACCTAGGTCTTGTCCTACAGAGGCTAAAGGCTAACATTGATGGTATTTTTATTACTATTGTAACGACAGAAGATAAGGGCTAGGCAACAGATCGTTTATTGAGAAAATCAACAGATATTTATAGATTTTTTTTGTACATTATTGTCAGTGAAGATGTAACGTCTTCTGATTGATTGTTTTCTCGCTGAAGGTTATTCTGTACTGCTTGTGACCGTTTCTTAGAAAGTTAAGCCATATATCTGCGAATCGTATTTGTACACGTTAAGTCTGCTGTGATTGGTTGGTGAGTTCCTCAAGGTTAAGCTTTGTTATTGTTTTTCTCATGACCCCGATTCGGGACGTAACACTGACGTAAATTGCTGTCTACAATTTCGACTTGCAGCCAGTTCTCATCACACTATCATTTATTCCCAAGGACTCCGAGAAAAGTTCCATTTCACAGTGTTTTTTGAGGTCCTTTTTAGTTAACCGCACAACTGTCCATAAGCTTTCACCTCTATTTCCTTCAGCATATTTGTTGGGCAATAGGTTCTTGATTGTTCCATGTTGTGAATTCTTTCTGAAAATCTGATCTTCGTTATGCAGCGAAAGCAGCTGTTGATAGACGTTTACAGACTGTTGAAAATGCCATTTGGTAATGTATCAATGGACTAATCATAAGCACGTGAAAATCTAACCATTTTTCATTTTTTTTTGACATTTTATTTTGCAATACTACAGCGAAAAGTTGTTATCACTTGTCAAATCTGTTGCATAGTGAACAAACTAACATTCTACAAATGCCTTAACTAGGTCTTTTTCCGTTTGACGAAATATTTTATAGTTTATCAAAAGCAAACTGATGTATCACCTTAAATAACTAAACTAATTGATCTTCTTGAAAACTTGATGAAAACAGTCGCACTAAGCATGTGTGACTAGTAGTCAAAAATAATACTGAAATTATCAAACGTAGGATAAATTCCAAGCATTTTCATTAATGGTAATCACATGACTGTTTTTCCTCTCCTTCATGATTCCTTTGAAATTGGTGCGCTTTAAATTAATTATTACATCCATGAGAATGAATTAATTAGGAAGATAGTAGTGATGAATATTAATTACCATTACAATTCAAGAAAAATCTCGCTACTGTAATGATAACGATGGTACATGCTTCTGTGGTGAGAGCTGGCTGCTAGCCAAAGTTGGTAGACAGTAATTGACGTCAGTGTTTATGTCCCCAATATTGGTGGTGAGAAAATGAGAACAAAGGCTTTGCGTAGGCGGATACAGTTAGCATATGGATGATCTGATACAGCCACAAAGAGATGCAAGGTTAACTTTCTGTGAGAAACAACCAATCAAAAGACTGCATTTTCTACTAACAATAATCTACAATAATGTACATTAAAATCTATAAATATGTGTTGATTTTCCTTAATAAACGACCTGTTGCCTGGCCCTTGTCTTCTGTTGTTACACTTCTACTGGTGATAATGGTTTTTCATCAATGATATCGTAAAAATCTGTCAGGTGAAAGAATTTAGCAGACAACAGAGGACGATGAAGAATAACTTTAATGATGCGTGTTTCAGCGACTTAATTTTATTTCGGATGTTGAGTAACTTTTTTTTAGCTGTTCTACGAATTTCTTCTTTCAGGTAAATTTTTCCCACTCATCCGATTGTTGCTCTAACTTTGACTGTTGCAAATAGAGCCCTCCTGTGCGTTCTACACAGAGATGATAATACCCACCGCTTAACGACTTACAATAATCTGAGGGGTAAACTAAGTACAGACGAAAACAATCTAGTCCTCTAGACACTGCAACTTATGAACTACAGTGATGAAGTAATGAAGAAATGCTAATCGTACGATTCAAGACTTTGCTGCAAAGTGTAAGAAGTGGCTACATTAGCCTGTATCAGCACTAATTTTCATACTTGACGTTGTATGCGAATAAATCATTCCTACTGTGGATTAACGTCGTTGATCTGTTTGCCTCATGATATGATAAAAGATAGAATGCTTACATAAAAAAGAAAATTTATGAATTGCTACACTATTCCCTGACAGGGAGCAGTGATGACTATCACGTCTTTTTCAATCTAAGACTTTCTCTAAAGATTTTTGCCAACAAAACAACAGTCCAACTGTTGGTTTGCAGGGATTTGATTGGTTACAGGATTTTCATCATGAGCTGACATCAGTTAGAGAACCATTGGAAAACCTGGGAGTACTGGACAGCTGTTTCGTCCTAGTTTGGGGCTCCTCATCAGTACGCACCAACCGGGATTCGAACCTAGGAGCTTCTAGTTACTAGGCGAGCTCGTATACCATTAAGCCACTAGGACCCGATCCAATGGCCCATAAATTCCAACTTCTGCCAATTCACGACATAGCGCGACCCCTAGCCAATGTCTTCGACAAGTATTTTTCCCCAACGTAATATATGTTCTCTGTGCCATCAATACTTACTATTTGCAAATTTTATGCAAAGTTGAAGTCAGCAAGTGCCTCTTACCATGCTTAAATCGTGTCACACTATGTCACTGTAAATAACACGTCATGATAAACTTCAGAACAAATACAAAAATATGCACTAGTCATCTGCCAATTAATATACGATAGAGTGTTAACGATTTGCAAACTGTTATATAACTGCACGCCGTCTTCTGAAAGACGTACGAAAACGGGATCATAGGTGTCTTTGTAGCAATTCTCGTATATGACGGAATAAGGGATGTGCCAGCTAAAAATAGCAGTAGAGCTATGAATTTTCAAGGATTAAGATAGCTATGATGTGAGACAAAGATTACTGTGTAGTATGCATACCTTTTGATCTGCAAGTGTGACCTTGCAGCTGAATTAATTTTTGTAGTTATATATTTTTGCATTTATAATAACTTATATGAACTTTTTAGACTGTTAATAGCTAATGGAAAACGTAAAATAAGAAGACATTAGCTCCTTTTATCCTGCAAGTATGTTCGTTCTCTCACTCTCCGTATTCAAACTAATTACGAGGAATCGACTGCGTGGAATAAGTGATGCCGTTTTAGAAATGGAAAATTATAATGCAAAACTATTATGAGATAGGAAATAATATCAATTTAGCAACATTTTCAGCCATATTTTCCTGTGTATTATGTATAACTGAAACATTTTTTTTGGCTAAAGCATTAATCATTGCTTATACAATAAAAAAATGTCAAAAACTAGAGTGCATAAAAATAATCATTATTTCTTACGTCACCGATTATTTTCCATAACTGTTCACCAACGATAGCGTAAGCAGATAGTAGGGAATTTAAAGCAGCTGATCGAACCCCACTATCACGATCGCCTATTTGTTGAGCAATAAGTTTGATTGCTACAGGGACAGACGGCTGACAAACATTCAGTCCAAATCGGTCAATCAGTGAACCCATTTCATCCAAACATTCTAGAAAAAAGAAATGGACAATAGGCAAATAAAAATATTCAAACAGCTAAAACAAATTTGAATAAATCATAAGATATGTTTAGGTTTCCTATTTAATTGCTGAACAGTAATGAAAAAAAATAAAACTAACCCTGCCTTGTTTTGTTTGTCTTTGCTTTGATGCCATTTGTTAGATAGGTGAACAGGCGACTAGGTGGATAGAGATTAACTACAAGTTTCATTATTCCACGAATACTTTGACGAATCATATCTTTTGGATCACCGACTTTCATTACCAAATAAGGCAGAAATGAACCACCTTCATGTTCAGAAAGATTTGCTCCAGATTCTGACATCTGAACAAATAATTTTGTTAAGTAATCCATACCTGTAAAAAGAAAAGAAATAATAATAATGTTACTATAAAGTAGATGTATACAAAACTTTTATTTTCGACAATAATATAAGACAATGAATTGTTCTCTTCTCCTCTTTTTTCTTCCACATCATTGCGAAAGTCCTTATAAGTGATATAAAATTTGACCTAAAATGTTGCATAATGGTGCATCTGTTCAGTAATATACAAACAACCATGACAAAATGATTGCCAGTGTTCAGAGACGTTCGTTGATATTTCAAAAGAACGACTTATTGACCGATTAATTCTGTGTTTTTCACTATTTCTTTAGCTCTAAAACTAACAGATACATTTTATAGTTAATATCAAAATACCAATTCAGTGATGATGGGTTATGTAACTTTGATTAGAATTATATGCAGAGTTATTATTCAGCTTTTTACATAACGATCAGTGAAATAAAGAATTATATCAGGTAATCAAGTGTAAACTGTAACTAATTCTGTTCGTATAAGGCGGAGGTGCTCAAAGTAAAAGTAGTTGTTACACCATTTTGACGGTCACATCAATAAAACTGACTGCTCCAGTTTCTACTATATGTAAGTGTAGAACACGTTACTGTTCGAAGAATTGTAGTGATAAGTGCACATACAAAGATTATGCAATAATGATATAAAGACACTCTGAGATGTTTGCCCGCAAACCTGCATTTTTATTCTACATTTAGAATGGAATGAAATTATTTCAATATTAATAATTCCTGTTTTCGACTATATTTTCATCAAAATGTTCCGCAGTGATGTCATTCCCACACGTGAATTCTAAAATTTACCAATTCACTGTTCTGAATATCAGCAAAACGATTGAGTGAAATGGAATGAACAACACATTCAATGAGGAAACGTTTGCTGATACGCGAATGAAACAGCAAATGCATATGCACTGTTGAGGAAAGTACACCATTTCGAAAGACGGTATAGCCAGTTTCAACGTTATGAATGTATTACCGCTTTTACTGGTTATATTTCTTCATTCATTTTTTTCCTGGGTCAATTTGCCTGTTTTTCTCTCGACGTTTTGCGTGTTTTAATGTGTTTAGATCAATTTCTTTCACTAGAGAACTACTACATCTACATGGTAGCCATTGAAACAGCTTCCCCAGACTTGTGGCCAAGCCTACAATAATACCAAACTAATTCTGAGCTATGAGTCGGCAACGCGGTCTAATGCTAAATGAATATTTTGTATGCTTAAAACAAACCTAACATGTGCTGAAGTAATTCGAAAAAACATCAGAGTGAAATTATTTTACAGAATATCAAGTCATTTCAGAATTTACTCAATACAGAAGAAAAAACATTAGTTCAGAATTTGCAGGGTTCGCTTCGACAGTATTATAAGCTTGGGGAAAAACTACAATATGAGTCTTATGGTCAAATACATCAGATATTACTGCTGTTGAACATTTTATCATACACTATATTGTCTTACTAGTGATCAGATGTAATTTCAGCGCTTTCGCAGAAGAAAAAAAGTTTAAAATCACACAAATGCTGTAGCGAAGACATATATATTTGCATAACTTTAATCTGAAAAGCCTGCAAAAATATTTACAGTATTTTCACTAATATATTCCTAGTCTAAGATAGTAAATGCGAACTGAGGAACATTTAATGCGTAAGATATATGGGAAAATGCAAAATTAAACTCCTTACTATACAAAACCAATTATAATTACAGTCTAGTGAATTGTCTAAGTGTTCGTAGGGATGTAGTGACCGATCTTAACAGTCATCTTTATTCAGCATAGACTAGCGATTAGTAAGCTGTGGCAGATAGATAAATGTCAAACGAATAAGGCGAATGTCGCTTTCATTGTTAACTCACTTCCAACCCACTTTCTTCAGTGAACATTTAACCCAGGTCTACTTTTTAAGATGCATTCTTAGGATTACGAATCTAAATGAAGTAATGTTTTGTTGGAATGACTTAGCCAAATACCTTATACAGTCAAACATTGCTAATTAATTCAGCACAGAATTATGGGGGAACTGCAATTATGAGACATTTATTTTTATTGTATTTGAGCAACTTAGCAACATACCCTTTACTCTCAATTCTTTCTTCCCGTAAATTCATGCATACCTCAATTATTTCAAACACTCAATGACTTCAAGTGACAATATGGTTGAATTATAAATTAGTTATAGTGTGGTGAGAGCTGGCTGCTAGCCAAATTGGTAGACAGTAATTTACGTCAATGTTTACGTCCTCAATATTGGTCGTGAGAAAAATGAGAACAAAGACTTTGTGTAGGCGGATACAGTTAGCATATAGATGATCTGACATTGAAGAAACAGCCACAAAGAGATGAAAGATTAACTTTCAGTGAGAAACAACCAAACAGAAGACTGTGTTTGTCTACTAACAATAATAATAATGTACATGAAAATCTATAAATATGTGTTGAATTCCTTAATAAACGATCTGTTGCCTGGCCCTTGTCTTCTGTTGTTACAATAGCACTAACATTAACAACGATAATAGTCTCATATAAACTGCATTCATACACTTCCATACTGTGAAATATTGACCTAAGTCTTGTATTATTTCACATGACTGTATGATTTGTTACCGTTCTCACGCTATACAGCTAGTCTCACTCCATACACTGAATATAAATCACCTATATTTACCTGCCTGAGTGGGAAAAAAAATTGACATCCTAGCAGAAATATATTCCAATAGGAGTCGACCTCTAACCAAGAGCTTATAAAAACCTGTATATAGCCATTTTCAATATTTCAACTCAAACGATACGCAAGGTGTGTGCAATATTGATTAGAGATGATAAAAGTGTCAAAAAATGACGCACTCGTTATGACAGACACATGAAAACTAAACAAGATTAAATGATATGATAAAAAATTAACCAACAACCCACATCTTCCCAAAACAACGGGATTAGTTTCAAAGAATCGAAGAACAATCCATCTCAAGATGATATCCACATTTACCAAAGTTGCTTCTGCACCTTCAGGTGTATCTAATAGTTGAGAAAGCTGGTCAATTGCTTTAATATGTTGTCGAAAATCTGTATGGAATAAAAGAGCATGGAATTCAGGGGAAGCACCTGCTGCACTGAATAATGTATTCAACTGTTGTACATGATCTTTCGTAGGAGAATCGAAATCCCATTTCAGAAGCTGTAAATTGAAAATGTCCAAAAATCAGAGTAAATAACCACGAAACAACAGGGGGAAAAAGTATAAGATTTGAATAGATTATATTCAAGTGAACAACTGATCAAACTGTTATCGATTAAGAGTTTTATTAGGCATACTTTCGAGCGATTGTAACTTAGCAACATTTACTTAGTATAAATTCACAACAGTGACATAAAAATGTACTTCACTAATAAAAACACTTGTTTAGCCTTCACATAATAATTAGTTCACTCAGAATTACCATAATCCTTGAAAAAAAATCAGTCAAAAATTAGCTGAAACAGATAACTGGGAAAAATTCGAATCTCTAATAGGAATGCATTAGTGCAAGCTGCAGAATTCGGTAGCAGTAGTGAACGATATATCTAAACAATAGGAAAATGTCATGAAAGAGAAATGAACTCATTAAACCTTAGTGAAGATGTCAGAACCATTGGTGATAATCAATATAACTGGGTCACTGTGTTCAACTTCAGCCTACACTGGTCTAGGGTGTTTAAACATTCACTGTTATTGTCTTGTAGACTACGGATAGATGGTTTGGTTTACACAGCTAAAATAATAGTAATATTTTGGTTTGGCCACCCCCACCCTTAAGTCCTTTTGAATCTGACTCTTTCTAGTTAATGTTGTTTCTCGAGTAGAAACATTTTTCAGTAGCTTTCAATCACACTGATTATTACTACTAAAGTGAATGCACAAATTAGCAAGGTAACTCAGTAGGAATCTATTTAGATGAGGAACAAAGTTTTTTTTTCAGTTTTCTTATTATTTCGCATTAATTGTCACAATTCATGTTGCATGTTATCGCATCTCAAGACAATTACGTCACTAAGTAAGGAAGTATAAACGTCGTTTTCAGGTAAGGATTGTTTCCCGAACAGAAAGTAATATTCATTAACAATGTATAACAGTAATGTTACGTATTTAGACTATGAATAACTTGATTACCAGGTCTAATGTGATTATTTTCGTATGACTGTTGTTGACATTAATTTGTATGTGGTGTGTACACTCACATTAATGCTCAAGTACTGCAATAACAGTGTAATCTACAGTCAACAGTGGAAATAAAGTAAGTTAACACTATGAAAGTGTGATCCGTGGCTTAGTACAGAAGTGATATACGAGACCAATAAAAACAGAAATACAGATATAAAGAAGACTATGACTATTTTTAAACTTAAGTCTTTATTAATCCATGTTGGTAGTCCTATGGGAATTTAAATTAACCTACACTGTCTAAATCATCAGTCAGAGGAGATTACAGATTGGTGTTGTATCTTTACGACAGTGTAACTAGCTTTCTTTGCTAACTAGCAAATGCTCATACAATGACGCATTTAATGCATTCATGAATCAATCAATGAGTCACACTGTAACGTTAGAAGACGTAGAACTTTCTAAAAGAATGTTTACTAGCAATTTAGTATCTCTATATAGCCGAATTATGTACACTTTATCTTCAACGCACCATTTGCACAGAACTTCTGTGTTGTGTTACTTTTGGACTTCATATTGTGTTTATTTGTGTTCCGTTCACGTCTCCCATGCATCTCCGCAACACTGAATTATTTGCTTTCTCTGACGTCAGATCTATCTCCCTGTTATTTGACGTTTTTGTGCCAATGAACATCTCTTTGTATGTATACCAATGAAAAATCTTATCAGTAGCATACGTCTCATTACCATCTTGTCTCAGGTGTATAGTATCTCGTATTAACCTAATGTGCTACGCTATTTCCATTGACTTTTCCGATTTACGAGTGATTACATATTCATTATTGCTGTGTAAGTTTTTGCTTAAGAAACTTGTAAATTAATTACGTTTTGGGTATGATACCGGCTGCCTGTTTGAATTCCAATTATCGTGGTAACACACATAGTACCTACAGGAATCTTGTTGTTCTTCAGTGATTTTACATACACGTTCCAGTTAGTACTAAGTACAAAAATTACTTTCTTTTACCTATTCCTATTTTATTTAATAAAGTGAACATGTGTGGCACACACTGTATCTGCTTTAAACGAAAAGTTTTGAAATCTCGACAACTAATGTAATAAGAAAATTAATGAAGGCCAACCATTGAATGAACAGATAAACATTAGTTACCTTGCGCTTTTTCTCATCAGCTAATCTGGCTGCTCTAGCTGTCTTATTTGATTGTAGAATGACAGATGCAATTGGCTGTTCAACAATAGCCTTTTTCGTAGCACTGGTAGGTTTTTTACTGTCAGTCTTTTTCTTCGCCTCTGAACCAGATTTGGAAGTTGTGTTTGAAGATTGTGTAGTACTTTCAGACTCTTCACCATTATCTAAAATTCAATGTCCATTAAAAAACACAAAATGATTAGGAATAAACTATTCCTTAGGAAAAATATTAGGCTACAACATACAATGAAACACATATCACTCCCCAATCACAAGGATATCATATAACACTAAAAAGCTTTTTAAGATACCTAGAGACTTAAATCCACAAAGAGTATTAACACATTTTTCGATGGACGATGGTAAACTACTGCATTCTGGGTGGTCACAAATGCCTTTGTGAATGACAACTGGAATCTGTAATTCATCAAAACTAAAACTGACTAATTGCATCTCATATTGTATAATCTGAGTCATATTGAAAGCAACAATTATTGCACTGTCAAATATTTCAAGAAAAACAGAACATAATTAATTCACCAAATAATAATCTTAAACAACGACAATGCAAACATATTTTAAATACCTGTTGCAGTTACTGCTGAGGAATTTGACGACTGTGGACGTGCACTAGCAGCACTGCCACCACCACGCACTGCTTTGGGTGAAGAGGTTGGCTTTTTCTCCGCTACAGAAGAAGGATGTGAAGCAGCTACACTTTCGCGGGCTTTCTCCAAATGTGACATGACTGTATCTTTTGATGTAGATTTTAAACTTTTGGCACATTTGGATATCGGTTCCCAGCCGAAAACTTGAATTAGAGAAGGAAGAACTGATTGGGCTTGCTTACGAGCTTCCGCATTACGGTCTTCAATACAGGCGAATACCTGAGGCATTAAATTGTCTAATATCTCTGCAGCATTTTTTCTCAAGGCGTTCAGCGGCATCGGTGATAAAGCGCTTTGAAGCCAACGAAGCAACTCTGTTCGCAGAAAAGGATTTTCCATCTATATATGAAGAGAATAATGTTAAGTGATTACAGAATTGTGTTTAGAATTTAAGAAAGAAATCACGCATTGGTAGAAGTTAGAATTCATGAGGTCATTGAATCGGATCCAAGTGGCTGAATGGTATACGAGCTTGCCTTGTAACCGGAAGGTCCTGGGTTCGAACCCCAGTGGATGCGTACTGCCGATGATTCCCAAAACTAGGATGAAACAGCTGTCCAGTACTCCCTGGTTTTCAATGGTTATCTAACTGATATCAATCCGTGATCAACTCGTAAGAAAGAAAAGTTAAAATCAATTTTTAACTGCTTATACTTAACAATCTTATGAATATACAATAATTAATTTTATGATCTCATGGAAGTCCTATGCAGAAAATGCTTGTGGTAATACTTAAAGTATAACGATGAGTGCAATTTGAAATATTTTGATTTGTTTCAATCGTTGCCATGACATATTCTACAGTGATTAATACTGCATTGAAACTCATGTACATTTAACAATATCGAATTTTCAGTTCCCTATGGCAAGTCCCCTTAAATTTACAAATGATAATTAAAAACAATGTAACAGAAGGAATCCATATTTGAGATACTATTACATATCTCTTTAGAAGACTAGTTTTACACACAAAATATGAAGGAAGACACTTACTTTCAAGGCATCAGCTAACATGTCATTTTCAAACATTGATAAAATAGGAACTCGAGCTTGCCATGAAGTAAGTGCAGTCACTGCTGCTTCGCGTATGTGAACCTTAGAATCACCCAGGCAGATTAAAATAGGTGGCTCTGTATATCTGAAAATAAAATACGTAAATCGAAATTATTAATTATGTGAAGATAGATGAAATGATTCAGCTACAAGAATGAAAACAATGGAGAAATATAAAAGAGCGAACCGGTAGGGAAATCAATGTAAATATGTACAAATTCACAAAAAGTCAGTAACACAATTTTACTAATATTCACACTCATTCACTTTTTTTTTCTACTTAATATCTCTCTACATGAACTTGCCTATATGACTGGAGTGAAAATGAAACCACCAGTCTTTACTGCATTTTCGTTAAATGTGACATCAAGACTCTTGTTTTCATCGAAGAATAAAGCTGAACCACGAACATTCTGAAACTAATGTCGATAGACATATTTATTTTTGAACACAAGGAATATAAAGGGTCAGATAGAAGATTGTAGAGTTAGAAAACCAGCATAACTATAACGTCTGGATTTAAGACATGTCTGATTCTCTGAGATGACACCCTTCTGGAACACCCTGTCAATTTCTGACTACCTAAAAATTCAACACTTTTAACAGAGAGGGTTTATGAGTTATACAAGATTACAAAACTACATTCTCATTCATTTAAGTAGCTGTTTAATGTTAGAAGCAAAAACAAGTTGTGGATTTTGAAAATGAATCACTTGAAAACCTCCATCTTACTTTATATAGTTTACAGCGTCTGATTTTGGCAATGATGAAGCGAATGAGGATAAAATTCCCAAGGCTTGTTTAGCTAAATTTTTATTTACATCGTTAGCAGCTTTAGCAATAGCAGTCAATGGCTCTTGAAGTTTCCCATTTGAACCATCAATCATCATGGATGGAGATAAGAACTTTTCAATAGTATTCAAGGCTTCCAAACGTTCTTTCCAGGCTTTACTTGTTAAAAGTCCTAATAATTCAGGTGTGAAACGATCCCTGGAATGAAAAAAAAACGCAGTGCAAATGACACACAATTGATAAAATATGATGTAAATTGCAGTAAAATCCAAGCGTAAACCTAGAATATCAGAGTAAAGTCTAATTTCAAAAACAATACTATACATCAGAGATGTGGAATCAGTAAATTGGAATGAAGGAACAGAGAGTGACTACAGTGAAGTCACTTTATATCGTTGCTCGTGTTTCGCCTAAATAAAACTATAATTATGCTGAGAGGTAACAACATTTTTACTGAAACTTCGTGTAACATAGGTCAGTATCAATCAGCGGTGAACCCAATGTGCCTGGCTAATATCCCCATTTTTGATTCATTTTACACACATCTTATCCAGTGATCTATTTCCACAGTGCAACGAAATATTCAATAATTATTTATATAATTTGAAAAAGCCTATACAAGATAAATGAATACTCACCTGATATCCGTTTTTGGAAGCAGTGCATCAACATCAGGTTCCTCCTCTTGAATAGCCTCCACATTAGCCGATCCTCCCTCCGTTCCACCATTTTCAGCTGATACTGAATCTTTCCGAAGTGCCTGAGTTGCAGAACATCGTGTGGGGGCAGGAGGTGTACGATCTTTATTTTTTGCGAATTCTGCATTCAATAACGTGACCACGGCAGGCTTCTCATCTGATAACAAATTGACTAGACGTTCTCCAAGAAATAAATGAATAGTTCCAGCAAGTGTTAGGGAATTCTGTCGAACAGATGGATTAGTCGCATTTAGACCAGTTTTCAGTAGTGGTACAACTTCTTGAGGCGGAATACTACATACAATAAACAAAAAATGACAAATAATATTTGTAACGACAGTTAGTTTCAAGAAGGCGCTAGTGAAGAAAAGTATTACAGTAAAATACTTTGATGTTAACCAGAGGGTCAATGAAACTCGATAGGAATATTTACTTCAAGTATTAATGTTGGGCCGGGGGTTGTCCTGAATAAATAACTGATATAATCCGTAAAAAAGATTTATTGGATGCAAGAGCAGAAACAACAGTTTTAGTTGGTTACAGGATTTCATCATGAGCTGACATCGGTTGGAGAACCATTGGAAAACTTGGGAGTACTGGACAGCTATTTCGTCCTAGTTTAGGACTCTTTAACAGTACGCACCCACAGGCGTTTGAATCCGATGTCAGCTCATGATGAAATCCTGTAATCAATTAATCAAATCCCTACAAATCAATACTTGAACAGTTTTAGTTGTTATTCGTGTACCTATTTTTACTGACCAACGAGATATGAGAAAAAATAAACACTCAGTAAAATATAAACAATGGTGATTTAATACTGAAAGCATCAAACGCCTTAACTACATATATTACATTATATCTCAAAGAAACAAGGAAGAAAGCTTGTGAACATTATGAGCTTGAGCTAGTACAGGTTTACTTTATGAACAGATTAAAAGTACTATGTAGATCAAATATTTCTTTAGACAAGAAACACAACATAAAACTATATTTTAACCAACTCTAGCCATTTAGTTTTTAAGGTATTAACATTCATGAACAAAAGTTACTACTCACCGAAATCCGAATTCCTGGACACTTTGATTCAACCAAACCAAACCTTCTGTTTGACTACGTGGATTTTTTAGTTGAAAAAGTGTACGCATTACACAACCACCTACTAACTCCAGACTAGTTTTCTCAGCTAGTGTTGTTAGTGTAGTTTTTACAATGTCACCTACTTTGACATCACCAACCTTATCCAGTAACTCTTGTACAAGTAAATCAGCGAGATTCGAGGTGACCGATGTGCTCGAAGACAGAACTGTATTGATATATTCAATACGAATACGAAGAACCTTGACGGGTAAACAAAAAGTCACACAAATTTTTCAATACACATACAGTTTATATTTTATAAAGTTTTAAAGACAAATTCTTCACTACAAGTGGTTAAAAGAGAATTAAGCTTTTGATTATTTGTGATATTGTGAGAGGTGTTTCATTTTCTTCAAACAGCTAACAAGTTATGGTGTACCACACAAATACCTGCCTATCATACTTAGAGTGCACAAAATCAGATAACACTTAATGTACATCTCGTGTGTATTGATTTTTTCAAATATATTTCTACTAAGCAATATTGTTAATCAATTTACTGTGTTCACAGACTTATGCGATTACAATCACCTATCCTACTAGCATAGTATTTCAACAAGAACACGACACAATAACTCACTTTTATTTAATAACTGTCGAGCAAATGAAACAGATACTTAGTACGACAATTACGAGGCAAATAGCTGTCTCGATTTCGGAATTCGCTCATCCAACTTATGTCTAAAAATATCATAGGATGAATGCCTCTAAGATACTTATTTAGTAATTTTTCAAAGTCCTCTCAAACAGATATTTAGTTTATTATTATTATTGTTTCCTTTAATTCCTAGAGGAACATAGAGCATCAGTCGTGTGTCTCCATTGCGTTTGGTTCTCCGCTTGAGTTTTCACCCGGCTCCACTTCTGCCCACACGTTTTCATCTCCTCTCCACATGACCTCCTCCAAGTCACCCTTGCACTGACGACCAACTCGCTACTTCCCTTTCGGGTTACACTCGACGGCTTGTCTAGTGATGTCACATGATGGTTTCCTCAGAGTATGGCCAATCCACCTCCATTTCTTCCTGCCTATTTGTTTCACAATCGGTTCCTGGTTGGTTCGCTCATTGCCAGAGATCTCTGTTGCTGATCTTTTCTGGCCATCTGATCTTGAGTATTGAGCGAAGACAACTGTTAATAAAGGTCTTTAGTTTGTTTGAAGTGCTCTTCATGACGCGCCAAGTCTCTGATCCGTATAGTGAGTAGCACTGACTTCACATTGGAGTTGAAAATTCGGATCTTATTTTTCATGCTGAGTGCTGTTGATCTCCACATAGACTTGAGAGCAGTGAAAGCTTGTCTCGCTTTTCCGTTTCTTGCTTTGATATCCTCGTCAGTTCCGCCGGCCTGTAGTTGAAACGATGCTTCCCAGGTAGGTAAAAGAGGTTGTTTCTTTCAGGCTCCTTCCATTTATGCTGATTTTTGTCTGTTGTTGTTTGCTGCTGCTGTTGGTGGTGTTGCCCAGGAATCTTCATCACCTCTGTTTTGATATTTAGTTTAAAGTTCATTAAATCCTACAGTTCGACCACACTGTTTACTATACATATACATGTTGCTCGAGTTTAACAATCTTCATTGTTATGAGATGAGTAGTAAAGGGATTTCTAGGAAAAACTGACTGATTTTTAAACGCAAAAGATAACAAAGTGAGACTGAGACATTCACAAAATGACTAACGTAAATGTTCTGGAACACACAAAAAAATAATTAGATGGTTATTTCTCTTGATAGAAGTTTTTCAGGTCAAATGTTTATTGACTTTAATGTTTGACTTTTGGATACAGGGTCTACGGTTTGAATTTCGTTCCACTAACTTTACCCTGAGCGACTCGGTTGTTTTCAACTCTCATACAATAAGTGTGAAATATGGCTTTGTTCGTGAAAAATATTTTCAGGGTACTGAAGTTGGTAGATTGAAATCTAATGTGTTAATATTTCAGTTGTGACTAAGTTTCCAACTGGATCGAAGTAGTATTATCCTTCATACTTTAGGCGCACTGACATAAACTACTCTCAGGTAAACGTTACATGATAAACGTAAGTTTTCAATATAAATAAGTGCTTTTCTGAAGAACAAAATTAAGAAATATTTAAATTAAGTTCGATTTTCGAAAGGAATCACGTGCTTGTTCATTATATTTGGTGGGGAATTTATGCAATTGTCCGTTATGCAGCAAATGTTTCAGAAATACAGTTTACTGTTAATACAACAGAATAAATGACTGATTTAAGGGTATATATTCCATTTTTATGCAAAAATCTTTATGACGACCATTTAACTGCTTAGTCATGTTTGTTTTAGATATCTCCCCTTTGAGATATGCCTACTGTCAAATCTGCAGAGTTTATTTCTAAGGGGATAACGGTAGTTAAAGGTTAAAATACATAGTTCCAGTCAGATGAACAATCAAACCGCTAATTACAAGAAAATCAGAATCCAATCCAACATAAAAATAAGTGGATACCTGAAAATTAGTGTCCTTAATTCCTGGCTTAAGTAGCACAGCGCGGCACAAAATTTGTGTAGGTACACCAGAAGAAGTGGAAGACTGGAAGTTGGACTTCAGTTGTTCAACGGCTTGTAGACGTTCTTTCCAATTTGTATCAGACATCTGCTTTATAGTTGCCTCACCAAGAAGTCTGGGGTGAAATTAACAGAAAATTAAGTGAATACAGGAGAGAAATCTCCTTAAATTTACTGCACAAATAACGGTTTCAATGAGTAAAAAAACCTAATCTTATTTGAACATATACATCTGGGTAATAAATTATCTGAAATACAGAACTATGTACATGACTGCGTCCCTTCAAGTTACCGACAGCGAGAAAATACATAAATGTCAAATCAGCGATTTTCATGAACAGCGTATCCCCATAAATCAAAGCCTTCTCATGAAAACTTATTCGCTTTATTTACAAATTACATTTAGACGACCATATATAGATGAATGCAATAATTCAAACCATACGGGATGCCGGCGTCAAGAGGCTCGATTATTCAGGCACTCCACTTCCAACCATGGGTTGACACATTTGAACCGGGTTATACTACCCGAGGTTTGAGAAGCTAGATAGTACCACCGCCCGCCAAACAACAGGAGTGAATTATTACCAAGTGTATGAAAATGCAAGTAACTGTTGAGTAACATTCCACTGAAACTTTACGAGGCCTAGCCCTTTGTAAAATGAACATAAAAGTATAATTTCATATCAGAATTCATAATCAAATTGTGGATACATCAACTTGTAAACAACAAATTTGTACTTATAGTAGAATATACACCGCAGAACAATACAACTAATGAGTTGTTCTTCTGTTTGCCACATGTAGATGAATGAATAAATAAATAATAGATTTAGTGTCAATAAGTTAACAGACATTGTGTCACTTAAATTAGTTGTTTGCAAACCACAATAGTACTACAAAATAAAAAGTGGTTGCTAAGAATAACTCACTCAGAAGCTTTCTGAGATATTTCATCTTCTGTTAGTAGGTTTTCTGTGGGGATTCCAGGTTTTGATTTATCTGAAGTCGATGCAGCAGATTTTGCACGAGCAGTTGGTTTTTTACTAGGTGGTCCGGAAGCTGAGGGTTCTTTTGTAGTAGACTCTGTCGTAGCCTGACCTGCATTGCCAGGAGCAGTGCTTGGACGAGTAACTGGCGGTGCTGCACGGCGCGGCGCATCACCAGGCTTTGCCGATGCGGAAGTATTCTTCGCAGTACTAGTTGGCTGAGCAGCTGTAATGTAACAAATTAGATTATTAGTCTTTATGAAAATAATAAAAGTCTATAAATAAATGTCCCTTGGCTAAGAACAGTTAACTCTCTGAAAGTGATATTGAAAGAAACCTGTACATCCGTCTTAGGAAGGGAAAAGAGGCAAGACAAGAAATGGCTTTCCACAGACACCTGGAAGCCGATAAAGGAGAATGGGATAGTGAAACACAAAATGAACTAGTGCAAGAATAAACAAGGAAAAGAGAAGCTGGATTCAATCTACAGCACACCGAATAAAAGAGTGGAGAAGAGTACTAGGAAAAATATAAGACAATTTTACAACACTGGCAACTGAAGCAAAATAGGTCGTAGATAAGACAGACCTCCGAACACTATATCAGATCACCACATCGTTATGCAGGAAGAGACCGGTACAGTGAAGGGGATCTAATTACCAAAGAGAAAAACAAAGGAAACGCTGGGCTGACCACTTTAAACGATTTTTGAATCAACTCCACCCGTAACTCATTCAGAAGTACAGCCAATGCATAATCGCAGATGGAACGAGAAGAACTAAAGTACTGGGTAAGAAAGCTTATAACCTTTTCATATCTACTTATAACGTCCATGTTTGAGCTATGAATAAGGACGGTAGTCTACTACCTGCACTTATCGATATTTAGCAGTTTAATGTTTCTCCTACGTTTACATACATAGGTCGACTACTCCTCACTATTTGTGTTATACGAAATAAAAATCGAAAAAATTATTCTGTTACGGAATTACCCTCTACCAAGGTGCCTGAATTCTATGCACATACACGTTATACAGCCAGACAAAAATACAAGTTCACTAATCCAAACTCACTTAAATAATCCTTTAGTTTCTATATATTTGGATAACAAATCATTTTATGCATGAAAGCAAGCATTATCTGCACCAATGACTCACCAGTGGCAAAAATAAAGTTAAAGAGAAACTTACCAGAATTACTAGAACTGCCAACTTCAGAAGCTATCTGTTCACAACATTCATTGATTTTCGCCATTCGAATCGGATCCAGTTCACTAAGAAATGGTTGTATGACCTTTGCCGATACAACGAACATTGCAGCACCAAGAGCAGCAAAACTATTTTCACGTACTTCAGGAACAGTATCATTGCAAGTCAAACACAGAGGGACAGTAAACGATTTTAATAGCTTTTTGTTCAACGAAGAGGCAGAACATTTCCTGAATATTCTGCTTAAAATCAAGGCTGCTTCTGCACGTACACTAGGCGTTTTATGACTCAACGCCTCTACAATATCGTCTACGAAATGATCCAAAGACGCCTGAAAAATAGTGATAATTATGAAAAACGGGATATACGCTTTTGTGAAACTAAAAGAATATGAATACCGTGTTTTAAGAAGGTGTAAGACTCAATGTCCAAAATCTCGATATGAATATTCGCAGGCGGTGTTAGTTTATCAGCTTACTATTATAATTATTTTATTAGCTTTCTTGTCTCATCTCTTTTTTACTTTTGTAATATCGCTCTGTGTACCACTTTAAAGTGATATGCTTCCGTGCAAAGTTCTAACTTAATCCACCTATTTACCATCTCATTTTTCTAACTTCATATTAGAAACCGTCCACTTCAGGTACTGAGGTAATTGCCTGAGAGCCCTCAGAGGTATCATATAACATTTCTGATCGTATAATGACGGCATACACCAACCTGGGCTATTTCTGGAGCAGATGCAACGTTATTCTGCCCTTCAACGGTCAGGTTTGTAATGCTTCAGTAAGCGTAATCTTGATCTAATCCTGTGGAAACTGCCTTCTTCAGGTATATGTGGGGTGACTCTGCATATCTGATTACCATTATCTCCCTAGAGTTACTTACATAGGGTAGCATCACTATACAAGCAATCCTGAGGTCCAACTGCATGTTTCGAAATGGTGGAGATCGTTTATCAGTGAGCAACATCATCTTGCAACTACTGCATAGGTAGCCTCAAGATTTGCTACGAATATCATCTCCACACCGCTCACTCCTTGCTAACCCTGAAATTAGGTGACTAAGTGGCTCCAAATATTGTCAGACATGGTTCCGAAGCAAATTCATTGATGCAATTCCTTCCTTTCTTCACTTTCAAGAAGTAATATGAAGTAATGGACGCTTTTTGAATGACTGTAAATATTATGTCTGTTTTTATTCTGCTGTTCCTCAACCATACTATTTTTCTTTTACCCCATATTTTTGTCTTATCATTCTATGCAGTACGTTTCACGGTAACTACATTGCGCTACGTTTGTGTTTTCAATGAATGATAGAAACAAATCAATCTTTTCATAAATCATAAAACACACAAACCGTTAAGTCAAATCAAAGCCATACAATCAAAAGGGAAAACCTAGAACATCGACAACTACATTAGAATCAAAATGAATCTAACTGTCAAACATGGGACTGTTTATCTTCTCTTAGCAATAATTTAGACTTAACAACTGTACGATATCCAAGTTCGTAAGTATTACACAGACCTAAGTAGTAAACCTAAGTTCAGGCTGCCATCCAGTAACTTCTCTTCAAGTTGCATGATATTTCATTTCTTTTGAAAAGAATGCCCACTTGTTCTGTGAAGACCGATGAGCAAAGTTATTTTTGATGATCAAAAAATTTCTATCCTGTAGGCCTAATTGTGTTCCCCACACAAACTGAATATTTCACAGTGCATAAAAGTCAGGATGATCAAACCATGTTATCAAGTTAATACGACTACTAAATCTTCTCAAGTATCTTGACTTTGAATAAGAGCATATGAGTGAAAGAAAAACAGTATCCTAACTTCGATTTACTGTTGACAGTTAGTAAACATTATTGCTGGAAAAGAATAATAACGCGAATTTGTAGTGACCTAAATAGATTACGAGGTGAATGCGAAGTTACGAAGTGATGTTCACACCATAGTCAAACACCGAAAATTTTAGATGTCACTTTATATTATTAACTTTCGAAGAAATAATTTCAGTTTGTTTAAAAACACAATAAATTAAGATTTTGATATAGAAAATGTCATTTACATTTACTACACCACCTAGCGTGAGAAAGTAACGTACAGTGAAACAGAAAGTGAAATAAAAATGCTAATATTTTTTAAACCATGTGCTCATATGATGACTTGAAATATTGATGTATACCTATTTTGAGAACATAAGTGGATTAAATTCAATGAACAACAATTACCACAACTTATTCAACTAAACATATATTTCTACACGCCAGAATATGAGACACTGTAAGGACTGATGATGCGACTCAGTCTACCAGGCTGAAGTAGATAAAGTGGCATTCAAACCCAGGAATCTTCGAAAGTTAAGCTAAAAAGCCACATACCCTCTTCTGCATGACAAGGTAAATTACAGTGTAGTACAGAAAAAATGTTTGAACAACAAAATATATTTATATTGTATCTAAAACACTTTTATCTTTAAAAGCGACCGTTTTAGATAAATTGATGGTATCATTGTGACGACCTTCTAATGACAGTTGTTAGTTAGTATTTGTTATATATGTACATATGGGTTACGTTATCAGGTATGTTAACGAAATGATAGTATTATGCAAAGGGAAAGATGATGTAATACACAGACTAAAGAAACTTTTGTGCATATGGGTTTACACATACATGGAGCTAATAACTCTAGTGACTATAACTGACAAGCTAAAGATTCTACTAACTGATCATCAGAAACCCAAGTTCCCAACCTATTAGAAAGAAATACTAAAAAATACTGTGTTCGAAATGGAGAGAGGGTTCGATGACCTAATTCCCTGATAATCAGCAGCCGGGTGAAGCACTTGATGCGCAACACATTACCTGATACATTGAGTACCCAGGGTCGTAGAACAGTGTGATCAACAAACAATTTGGAAATCGGCTAATCAAAATTCTTCTTGTGCTGATTGTGACTAATCATTCCATATCAGTGTAAAGGCCCATTTATTACTAGTTGTGGCTAGGAAAAATTGATTTTGTAGTTGTCCACTATTCACAGCCATTATTCGCAAGCTGAAAAGCTATTGTGTGAGTAGAGCTATGGGAAAGTTATAGTTCACTGATTCAAGCAGTCAGCCCCCATACTAAGTCAATTGCAGGTTTATATGTTTTGCTTACAGTATTTCTAAAGATTAAGAATCATCACCAGCTCCTATCAAATAAGCGTTGCACGCTGTCAATCACATGAATATATATATATATATACTGCTAATTTGCATTTGTTTTTTAGTACTGTTGGTTCGCCATGTTACCGTGTTTGTTTTGTATTCTTTCTAAACACAAAAAAATTAAATTGCTTGTAAAAACGTCTTTCTCATGAGTGCAAATGGACCAAACACAGAACAATACAGTAGCTTCTATAGTTTTTAGTTGTTGACTACACCTTTGACTTATTTGAAACGTTCATTGCCTGAAATATCAGTAGAGCCGGGCAAATAAATGAAATTTTACCTCAGGTTAGTACACTAACAAACAGAACCAAAAGTATTAAGCATACATTTAAAAGGAAAGAGAATTTCACAGGAATTAGAGCACTGGATGAATAGTGACACAAACCAGATTTTAAAAACACCATAAAGTATTAAATTAAATGTAGATGAGACTATCGTGGTCCTACAAATAATAGTAATTTGGAGGTGTAACGAATTAGCACACAACTTTCGGAGAGATGGCCCTGGTTATGAATCCCTCCGCACCATCTCAGGCCTGCAAAATTGGGTAGTATCACCAACCCTTACACAATGAGGCTTATAGCCCAGTTTATGGAATATCTGTGCCAAGCAAATGTGAATTTGCATAAATATTGAAAAGGACACTAAGTTTTGTGTAAACGATTACTCGGGCCTACTGATCAATGGTAATTCACGACAAAATTGAGTGAGACATAGCTTTCAGTTAAAATCACAGCCACATATTTAAGTAATGAGACTCAAGGAGAAACTATGGTGACTGAATTGTGTGTATAGAAGACACAATGTGCTGAAAATCACATAATGGAGGAAAGTTAAATGGAAACTAAACTTAATAAAATAGAAAACGTAAATGTGCATTGTGTATGAGTGACTTACTGAGGAGACTGCGGCATCGGCAGCTTCTCTTAGGGCTTGAACAACATTGGGTTTCTTTTCTTTGAACTTGCCTAAACAAGCTTGTACAGTTTGTTGAGAATATGGACTAAACTTAGATTTTAGTCCTCTTCCTAATTGTCCCAAAATTTTAGCTGCAAGAGCTACCAACATAATGTTGGTATCTTTATTCACAACCTATAATTTAATTATCAATAAGCATTTATGGAACAACGTACCTGCAGTAAGCTCTTAACAAGGTCGGAAAAATCGCCTGGTACGATGCGCGGAACGTTTGTAATCTTCTCAAGTGCCTCCAGAGCATCACGACGATCTTGCCATTTCTTTTCTGTCTGAAAAACAGCATGTCTGATCGTATAAGAGACCTTACTATTTGTTGCCAGTACTCACTGGGGACTTTACTAAGGACCTCCGATGGAGCAATCATATCACTCAGATCAACTTCAGTTGGGGCTTCATTTGAAGCAGCTACCTGTTCAGAGGTGTTTTCAACAACATCACCTGAAATAGTTTCTTTTGGTTTCTGACTGCGTAAATAGCGTAGTCTGACAGGTTTCTCAGGTGGAATACAGCTAAATAGTTCATTTAACTCGTTCATCTGAAAGCAGTGTTTAAAACTGGATTCACTACACTCACCACAACCGGTTTAATATCTTTCAACAGATCTTTTGTACCAGCCCCGACCCATCTGTAGACTTCAACAATAAGATTTTTTGTCTCATTTCTAACGCCTTGGTCTCGATCATCAAGGAGCCGACCAAACTCTTTAAAAAGAGGTTTCACCGAAACTACAGTTGAACCAAAAAGACTAAATATAAATCAGTAATAAGCGATAATAATCCCACTTTAAAGCCTCGCGGAGAGTTTGTAGACAGCCGACAACAACTTTCGGATTTTTAGTCGACAAACCCTTTAGGAGTTCTTCTACAACCAACTCGTGACGTTCTATCTCCACAAGCATTAGAAGGCATTCGATTGATTTATCTCTTGTTTTTGCTCGCGCAGAGCCCAAACATTTTGTTATGATACCAGAACATATATCTCCAGCACATCTAACAGTAAATAAGAAAATTAAAACTTACTTTGTAGCCACTGCAGCAACTTCGATATACGCTAAAACAACTTCCAGAGCTTTCTCCTGAGCTACAGCATGGGGATCGGTTACAATTTTTTTCATTAATCCAATATATTCATTGAAAATAGGACTTTTTTCATTCGTCTCTGTAGAGAATATTTTTAAAGCTTCTTCATATCCCGCCATCCGAGCATTCCAAAGCTAAGACCATGATTTAATCATTACATTTTTACCTTATGCTGCACCTTAGCCAAAGTAGGCAGTTTTGACCAGTCATCTTCTGCTGCCATACTGAATACTCGATACCTGTTTTGATATCAATAAAAATAATCAAACAACATATTTTCGGTTACATCCATGTCTTGATAATTTAAGAGGAAGCAAATCAAAATTATTCACCAATTCTTACTTTCTTAAATGAAACTTACGTTTTACTGTTTCTGGATTCGTATTTTTGTCACAAATATGAAATTCAGAACTGATGCCAAACGTATATAACCATACCGATGTCTTAAAAACCCTCATTATTCTCCATATAATTACTCCCTTTCCTACACTGCTCTGTTTATTACAGCTTCTTCGTACTTTATATACCCTTGTGTTCTTATCAAGTGTGGTACAGTCGCACTTACGTGCATAATTGTAAGTCAAAAATTCATTTCCAATTATATTACTAGGTATTTCTAAATAAATATGATTGTAGCAACGTATGAAACTCTAATTATAAACACAAGTCTGTCGTAAGTGTCTAGAGCTTAACAATGTGATTATCAGCAGAACAACATAAATTACCTATGTATCTAAGAAACAATGATTTTAAATGATTGTTATAAGACAGAGTAGAGAAGCAAGTAAACAGTAGTTTACAAACTGTAACAACGCAATAAGCTGTGGTAGTGGTGAGATAAAACAAGTGGATTAAGACACAATGCAAGAATAATGAGCACTTTTACAATCTAGACAGTCGATTTTGAATAACTGGTTATCAGATTTTACTTTCAGCATACCTAACGATGTCCGACGCAGACAGACAAAAAGTCTTCGCAACAACCGTGAACAGTGGTGGGCAACAAAAGCGAAATAGATGGAAAAAGCATCAGAGATAGGTAACATCAGACAACTATTTAGGATTATCAAGGAAACAGGTGGTAAAAGGCAAGTGATAAGTGAGACAACCTCCGAGAAAAAACTGCGGCCTAATTAGCTCTCAAGATAGACGACTGAAACTTTGGGAAAAACATTTTGAAGAGCAACTTGACTGACCTGTGAAGGGAATGCCGAGAAAACACATCACCGTGGTCAAAGCACTCTACTGGAACTTCCAGTCAGCTAGGTGACAGCCTACAGAGAGTTGTCCTCTGAGGTGGTGACAACCAGTGGTTTCCGTCAGACATGCTTACCAATGTCCCGATTTCTGTTTAATTTCATCACAGAAGTATGTGTTAATGGACTTAACCATAAGCGACTTCAGCAACTCAGGAATTGACTTGTTACCAAGGAATAATCTCGCTGACAGAATATGCTGGCTGGATTCAACATAGAATATGCAGATGATATGGTCCTTCTACGTGAAGTCGCCGACAAAGTGAAGTCTTTTGAACATCTTGAACAGCAATCTTCGAATGTTTGGCATGCGATTCACTCCCTCTGTCAAATGTGAGATGACGGGGTTACAGGAATGAACTACATCGACTCCTAGTTTATATATAAAGAGTGAAGTGGCGGAGCGTGTAGACCACTATACTTGTTTGGGAAGTTGCACTAGCCAACGCCAGAGGGTTGATGGCTGACGAAATCTCAGCACTGGTAAAAACGCTCGTTTGACATATGCCAGTTTACGCCGTCTCTGGCGTAGACGTAATATTCGGCTATCGACCAAAGGGCGCGTGTACTACTCAGCAGTTCACTGTCCTCCTTTATGGCTGCGAGACATGGCTACTGAAAGTGGAAGACATGAACAGGCTAGCTGTCTTTGATCATAAGTGTCTGCGTTCTACCTCCCTTGTTAGATGGTGTAATAGGATGAACCAGGTAAGCGTCAGCCTAGGCGTTGAGCGCTAGGTAAGAAAAAAAAACAATCGACGAGGTTGTGAAGTTACATCGACTGAGATGGTTAGGATATGTGTTACGCATGCCTAGACATCACCTTCCTCGCCGGACAATGTTAGCTGACATAGGATCAGGTTGTGAAAGAACTGGAGATTGTTCAAACAAAGCATGACATCAGTCAATAAAATCCACAAGTTAGTTTAAGCGAGTCACGTAGGGAGATTCAGACGTCGTTGGGGTCCCCGAGGTGGTAAAAGCCAATGACTGGAAACAATTGGTGATATGTCCCGAAATCGTCCTCAGTGGCGTGGGTGCATTCACCCTTTGTGACTTGTCATGCCCAATAAAACTCTACTGTTTTTCCTTATTACTATTATTTTTCTCACACTTCTGTTTATTATCTGTCTTTTGAACCTCCTTTTACTCTCTTATCTTGCTGTGTGCTACATGGAGTGTGGCAACCTGAACTGCTGCACATCTGTGAAAAGTTCTATGTTGAAACCAGTCAGACAGTCAACAATGTCTGGACTTCTAATAAAAACGTTTGGTTTCCTTGTGCACGCACTCAAACCTGATTAGTGTTAATGCGTCTCCGCACCCACATCTGAGATCCACGCAGTGAAGGCATTCTGCATTTGTTTTAATCAATTCCCAAAACAGTTAAGTTTATTAATAAGGTGGTTAAATTATATATTATTATATTTCAAAAGTCTATAACCATTAAAAAGTGGGTATTTATGTGTAGACCCCAGAAAAAAATACTGCATTTTAAAATACAGCCAAGTTAAACTTTAAGCGCAAGTGAAGTGGTGCAGCATCAAGTTAGTGAAACTTGGTAAAAAATACCGTAATCATGAATAAAATATAATGCATGAAGTGTTGAGTTATTAAATGGGATATCTGTCAAGTTTCAAGTTAGGTTTGGAAAAGACTATGTTAAGGTTAAGACTACGAACGGGTTAGGGTTCAAGTCATCAGTGCTAGTTTAGGGGTATTTTCACCTTAGGGTTACGCTAAGGAAAGATTACAGTTAATGCTACGGTTAGAGAACCTAGATAACTATACGCATAGGATGTGGTAAAATTAATCTAAAACTTAGAGGTATTTTTCTCACGCGTCAAAGAAGAGTATCCTGTAACAGTTTCATGCCTTTTAATCCATTATTTCCAGGAACATATGTATTTTACGCGCAGAAATCACCTTTTCATGTGGTTGGTGCTTTCAGGGTCCTTTCTCCATCGACACTTACTGGTGCTTAAAGTTAAACTTTGCCGAGAGCACTTACGGGAGACAATTTTCTTGTATAGCAATGACGTTTGGAGACTTCGCACACCTTTCCAAATCAAGCGAAATATAGAAAAATTAGGAAAACTAATGCGACTAATGACATCCAACATCCTAATAAGCTATTCAACTACATGAGATTATGATTGCAGCCGGATTCGGGTTTTTCAATTTATTTGAGTAGTTCTACGGTGTCACCTCAATAGCCTAAAAATAATCATTGACGGTGCAGACAAAAAGTAAACAATGATGATATATAGGAAAATTCCAAATCAAAACTGCATAAAGTAAGTACGACGACGAAAACGACAACTTACAAACCGAAAAAACGCTCCAAAGAAAACCCGCCACAGCTGATCAGGGACTATAACAAATATCTCCAGCTCAGAAAACGTCCAATACTTTAAATTAGCATCTTCAAATTTTGAGTCTTAAGTACATATTCCGATAGTCATAAAAGTGTTCTTGTGATGAGCTTTAGCTGTGAACTGACGCGACAAAAACTTTTAATCAGCAGTACTATACTGTTTCTCACTGAGATAACGAAACTCCTTTTCTAAGTTCAAAAAGACACCTCTGAATTGTTCCACTTAGAGATCGTCAAAACAAGTGTAAGGGAATGTTCTTTGGGTCACTTTCGGTAGAGAACTCGCCATTTATGCTGCTATTAAATATTCTCGACACTTCACCGAAAGTCGGTAATTTGCGGTATTCACTGATCACAAACCTCTAATGTATGATCTTCGCACCACTGCAGATCAGAACTCTCCATGTGAATTGCGCCACTTAGACCATATTATGCAGTTCACTTCTGACACTCAACACTTTTCTAGGGCTGTCAACCCTGGGGCAGACGCTTAATCTCGAATGTGCACCATATCAGTGTCACCAACCACTGACGTTAACAAAATGGTTGAACTCCAGCTCACAGGTTAGGACTCAGAAAAGCTTTCAGGAGAAACCTCCCCCTTGTGTATAGTGAAGCAAATATACTGTGTGATATGTCTACAGGTACTCCTCCGTCTATTGTTCCCCCGTTCTCACGCTGCACTGTATTTGACAGTCTTCACAACCTTTTGCACCCAGGAATACGTCAAGCAGACAAACTGATATAGGTTGGATTTGTGTGGTCTGGTAGAAATCGTGATGTGTGCAATCGGACGCGTGCTTGTGTGAGTTGTTGATGCACTAAAGTTCACAAGCATAATATAACTCCGATTAGGACACCTAACGCCCGTTTTAGCCATGTCCATCTGGACATCGTGAGACCGCTACCTCCTTTCAATGGCCGAGCGCACTTGATTATTTTGCCTGTTGTCCACAAGCTGTTTCCATAGCAGACGTAACGTCTGAGACTATCTGTCGTTTTCATGGAAAGACAGGTCGCACAACTTGGGTGCCCGGCTGCTGTGGTCACCGACCGTGGGCAGCAATTCAATTCAACAGTTTTTAAGAGGCTGTTAGAGCTATTGGGATGCAAAAGCATCAGAACAACAGCAAATCTCCCATCTGGAAATGGTGTAGTAGAACACTTTCACCTCCAACTGAAAGCCACGTTAATGACCATCGATAAACCTGAGTGCACAGAGTTTCTTTCCCTAGTCCTCCTTAGCATCCGTTCAACCCTCAAAGTTGATATTCAATGTACCACTGCCGAGTTGGTGCTTGAAACCACACTCCTTTTGCCTGGTGAGATTATTTCGTCAGACAGTGCTGAGTCAAGTGTTGCCGATATCCACTGTTACGCCCAGCCCTTAAAAAGCATTACGCAATGACTCTAGCCAAATCCAACATCACTCAGTACAAGAAAGTGCAAGTAGTCGTCAGCCTCGAGGTTTACACTCATGTTTCCGTGCGTTGTGACGCGATACGTAAACCCTTACAACTCCCTTATGATAGGCATCTTAAGTTTATTAGTACGAAAGCAAAATTCTTCATTTCTTATCGATTTGTCTGCCACTACACAGTAATTCTAGACAGACTTAAGGCGGCATATATGGAAGAATCATTACCCTCCCCTCCTACTAACTCAGCAACTTTCTCTGCGTCTAACTCCAGTCCATATACCGTAACTGAACCTCATGTTACTCCTGGTGGTTCTGCTACGGCAACTGAAGCACCTGTTCACTCACAGGTCGACATGTACAGTGGAACAGGTGGTACGCACAAATTGTTAAATAATTATTACATGTTTAACATTATTTAGTAGTCTTTATTTATTTTCACTGGTTACTGCAATTATTTTTCGTGGTAAGTACTCTTTTTGGTTTCGTTTGTGGCAGTAGGCGTTTTCCCCTGAAGTACTTCCCTTGATTTTCCTTATTACAGAGTACTAACAGCATTTTTCAGCGCGGATGAATTTCCTTAGATTTACTACGCTAACTATCACAGTTTATCTTGAGTCCGTGCCAAACTGGTTCGAGATGTTGGCTTTCATTTTGTCTTATACCCCCAGCATTTGCAGGAATACAAATGATCCTGCATTTTTCTCTACTCACACTGTTATAAAAGAATAAAAATCGTTTCATACAGCTACATGGACTGTCGCATACTTT